TTCCATACCATGATGTCAAACTAACGAGTATCTTCTCTCTGTCTGTCTACGTTTTGCCTCTTCTCTTTTTTATCTCTAACTTTTCCATTGCTATGATGTACTCCAGTTTTTTTCTTCTTATGAGATGACCAATAAATATAGATTGTATCTTTCTGATGCTGGTAACCAGTTCTTTCCTTGTGTTAATTTCTTTCGAGACATTTTCATTACCCTTTTTTCAATCTGTCCATGACGTTCTCATTATTCATTTATAAAACCACATCTCTACTGTTTCCACATAATTTTACACTAATCAGCTAACTATCCATGATTCACCTCCATTCATTTGGATTATAATTATTTAGCTCTTAAGAACTCCTGACTTGACAAAGAAAGATTACAGAGTATATTATTCACTTTATGAAATGCTGCTGTAAATATCATTCATCAGTTTTCTTAAAATTGTGACATGTGATCTCTTCATTGACAATTATAAATACATAAATAATCAGAAAAACATAGAATGTGTTATACAACATATCCACATTTAACTAACGTTCAGTCTTTTCAGCTGATTTAATAGGTCACAATGTTTCATAAGTACTTGTACTTAAAGTTTAGGGTATATAAAATAGAAAGAGGTTTCTTTTTCTTCTGTTGTTTCTCAGTTACCCCAGCAATATTTGAGGAAGAACAGATGTAAGGATCATATATGTACTCTTTTTAATAAGTTGTATAGCTTGTTCTTAATTTCTTAGTGTTGCTGTTGATGTTGTCATTGCTCTGGGTTCACTGTATTTCTTTAGCATGGCTATTTGTTGTAGTTGTTACTAGTGCATTCTCGCCAGAAGGCAGACCATATCATATGCTTTTCTTTAATTAATGAAATGACTGGTTAGTGGTCTTACTTTTCTTCTGGTTTCTTTCTTTTTACTTTAATCTCTTCTTTTTACTCTGGCAGCTCTCCTAAGAATTTAATATTTGTTATTATGATTTTCCACTCATTAGCTGTTGTAAGAGTCAATTCTATACCATTCATGCTGGTATAAATCATTTCACGTGCTGTGACCAAAGATCTCATGATTACAATTGGAGAAAAAAAAAACTAAGAACTACAAAACAAGCTTATAAAAGTTTCAAAATACAACTAACATTTGGTCCCTTTTCACTGAAATCAGTAGCCTATACTTATCCTTAATCTATTTATATTCAAAATGTCAGTATTTATGAAATAGCAAGAATAAGTATCAACTGAAATTTATACATAAAATATAAGAAAGATTCAACTTTATCATAACTGCCAGAAATAATTTTAAACTATTTAAAAATTCAATAGATAAACTTCCGACAATGTAATATAACTTTGTTCCACAAGAAAGCATCAGACAAACATGCCAGTTTGTGAACATTAAAAGTGAGATAATTCTTATAGGAAAAAATGCATTTCTTTAAGCAGAAAATGGGAATGAACACTTTTTTTTCAAGTGTTTATAAATAGGCACGCAGGCCCATATTACATTATGCCTTTCCAAGCACTCATATTTCAGACCTCAACTGCATGTTAATAATAATGCATATTATGTTTGTATAAAAAAAGCATAATAAAATAGTGCATATATGCATCACATATACACAATCATGCACACTCAAAAATACACATGTACACATACACAGTTTTACATGCCCATACATACACAAAAACAAGTAGGCAGGCACGCATACATGCACACACACACACAGACAGATAGACAGACAGAAACACACACGCCCACACTCATTCCCAGTGTTAAATGCAACACAATTAACATATGATTACAACAACAAAGACCTGTGCCACGTCCACAATGGAGGTTGGCTGTAATGTATTGTTGCTAACTATAGAATTTTTACTGGTGAAGTCCCAATCTCTTCTACAGTGTGACTCTCGTGCCACTGTCTAAAAGCCACATTGCTGGCCTTTTTCTAAACTGCCTAGTGAGGGAATTGAACCCTGGAAAATGTTGAGGATTGCATTGTGAGAACATTTTACTAACCTCTAAGCCACAGAGCCACACTCAAGATAACAGTTAATTTTACTTACAGCTTAGGGTAACAAAAGAAGAAGAAGAAGAAGAAGAAGGAAGGAAGGAAGGAAGGAAAGGAAGGAAGGAAAGGAAGGAAAGAAATGAAGGATGGAAGGAAGGAAGAGGGAAAGAAGAAGATATGTTTCGCATGAAGAAAACAATATTATTATTATTGATTATTTCACAGCCTTGATTATTTTCTATGTAAACTAATCAAAATTCCTGTCACAAACTTCAGCAATATGGGTTTTACATATATTACATATATATAAACTACATGTGCTGTAACCTAGTAACTGATGGAAAAAAAAATAAGAATTCATAGTCACACTAAAAATTTCATCTTTGGCTTGGTGATGACTAGCAACAACAACAAAAATAGGATATTTACATAAAAATAACCTAATAACAAGCATTGGATGTTATCAAAATCATTCATCATCATTACCATAAACCACTTCTGCCATTAAGTTTTGTGGGGAGGAATAATTTGCGATCCAGTGCAGGCTGGCTGCAATTGGCTATTGTCATGCCATAAAGGCAAAGAGTGTCTTTAATATTGTTGATCCATGTTTTTTTGCCGCCGTCCTCTTGCTCTTGTAGCTGATCTTCTGAGATGTATCAAAATCATTGCCATATTCTAATTCTCTATTTGAAACATGTAATGTTACCAGGCATAAACTTAATAAAAATGTGTTTAAAGCTGTAAAAATATATTACAGGGTATTATCAAATGTACAGATGAAGACATATTTACCATAAATTTGGAGTCACTTTAGAATGCATTAATAATATTGTGATATATACAATACTATAAGTTATTCATACTGAATTAATTTTATGTAATACTCACATAGTGTAAAAGCTGAAGATATATAAGCTTTCCTTTACAATTATCTTCAAATTTGACATGAGCATTGATGAAATGTGATCTAATGTTGGCCACAGACAAATGTCTTAATTCATTTCATCTGATTTACTTCCAACATTACGTGGAGGATACAGTGTTTCAAATTTTTCAAACCCAAAAGACTCAAGAGTTAATGCTCCAAGGTCTAACCTTTTCACCCCGGTGAACTAGAAAAAACGAACGCAAACTGTGGGGTTGTGGTTAGGGTCAGTTCTAGATCTTCTGGGGTCATTAAAAGCAGTCACATTGTGTAATAGCATGCGTCATCGTTGGTGAGAGCGTCGAAGACAATACAACCTCGACACCTTTGTAATGTGTGAAAAGTTAGCAAGCATGAATGAATGGCCAATCACAGTGTGTATGGGCTGGAAAATGTTAGTTGAACGACTAATCATAGCATGAGATTTATTTTACCTTGTGACCAGTTCATCTAGTAACTGCTGTAGCCAATGGGGTAATATAATAAAATGTTGGAATATCTATTTTTTCAAAGCCCTTTTTTAAAGAACACCGACCAAACCCAAATGCTATCTTTAGTAAATTTAGTCATCCCTTGTCAAGCTGAATGTTTGCACAAATGCAGATGCACTGAATATGTCAGCAAAGCATCTTAACAGGACTCTATAGCAAGCTGGGAAAGCAGCTTTCATGAGGGAAATGGTACCAACCAGAATTGTCGGTTTGTGGCTTCTCATGGTGAAAAGGTTTAATAATATCTTCAGATTTCTTGAAGCTGCTCTAACCAAATGTAAATTGAAATTACAACACATTATGCAATGCTTACAATCCAAACAGGAAACCAGTCACCTGTAAACCCTTGCTTAGAATGGAAAATGTTAATAGTGACAGATATTAGAGCATAAGAAAATAATTATACAACATCATCATCATCACATTGTCCTTTACATAATATAGCTGCCATCACATCCTACCTGAAAGAAGCTTGGTATCAGTTCTTCCTCCCCCCCCCTCCCTCCCACCACATGCACTTCCCTGCCCAATGTGCCTCATATATTATTATTTAAACATTAATACTTTCAACCTATTCAAATCTGAAACCACAAACATTCACAACTTTTTTCCTTTAAAGTGTATCCTCATAAATCTGTGAAACTCTACCATAAGAAATTAGGAAAACAGAACAAGAAACAGAAGAAATTTGGAGTCTTTATCAGTTTTTTATTAAAGTCCTCACCATATGAGTTCTGGAGCCTCATTGGACAACAAGAATAGTCCCAATGCTTCTCTAACAAGCATGTCATAAGACTTGACCAATTACAGGTTTCCTTTGAAGCTGCAGTGCGTCGGCCTGATAGGCAAGAAATCAACAGTCTGCACACAGTTAAGTCAGTTAACCCACCATGTCTATGCAGTATGCAGTTGTTGTCAGTAGCTCTTATATAGGCCGAAGACTTTATGTCTTACGGCTTACCTGTGGTGGTAGAGTTAAATATTATAATATCATTGTCATCAGAGGAAATGTTGGAGAGATCACTCAGTGAAGAATTGATATAATTGTACTCAAGACTTTTCACATAAATAATCCCCTATCCTTAGTAACCATCAATTAGTTTTAAACTGATAGTGATAGTGAAAACCTGATTTAAAGTCTGCTCATTCTTGGCTCCATTTCATCTTTTCAGATGACTGTGTTATTTTGTACTATAGGCAGGTATGTGAACACAGCACATCGCAAAGTCGAATGTTACTAGCAAGACCCACTAGCATTAGGAAAAATCTTCCATCATTAGAGATACTCTTTAAAGCACAAAGCATTGTTTACTCCAAAGAAAATTAACACCTACACATTTGGAACAAAGCATGCTGCTGAGGCCATCAGATCAAAATTGCAGTAATTAACAATAATATCAAATACTGATGTTTAAAAAATAATTTCTAAATACTATATACCCTAATTATAACCCATATGGGGTTGAACAGTATATAATTTAAATTAATATTGCTAAATTGTTCAGATTCATTTTTTACTCAGTTATCAATTATAAATCAGCTAACTCGATTTCGTCCTCTAGATTTGGCCTGTGTACCATAAAATGTTGGCTGTGCCATCTAGTGGTCAGCTTTGCTGATATTTGCCAGAAGGGCTCATCTCTGTGTAGATCTAAATGTGTAGAGAAAGAATCAAAAGCATCATTTGTGAAGGAGGCAAGTTCTGTTTCATCACGGTACATTCTTACATGTTTCTCCTGTACCATATGATGGTTTCTCCTGTTGACAAAAGTGCAAAGAAATACAAAATATTTATTTTCATCTTTTAAAATAAATTAAATCTAAGGGATTTTCTGGTGTTTATATTTATAAACAACCTTCCATGTTTCATTCAGTATTCACGCTTAAAAGTTTCCATGTTTGAAGCTAAATAATTAATTGTTTTGATATAATTCAGTTGTTTTATGTTTAGTTGTAGACTTTGAACTTTCTTTTTGGATCCAATATTTAAATGTCTTCATGATTTCATTTAGCACATATTCTACAATCTAAGACCTAGCTTATAAGATCTTCTTCTTCTTCACCATTCTGAGCCCTTGATGTTCACTGCTACAAACATCACCTGCCTTCATTCATCTCCAAGTGTTTGTTGGTCTGGCTGTATATTATCTCTCCACCATCTTCTTGATCTGTTGTGTGGTCTGGTGTACTCCCATTCAATTCTTTTGTTACACAAATTCTTCTCTCTGTTGTTTTGCTATTTTCTATGGCCTGGTTAATTATCTTTTTCTCAGTTTATGAGATTTCTTGTTCACTACAAAAAGATTGTTTCCACAGAGGTGTGGTTCCTTTTCTAGCAGCATCCTTGTTTTGTACTAATTTGTATGTGTAGAGAATGACCACATTTACGGTACATATTGTGTATCAGTAAAGATAGCTTTCAACTAGCAGTCAGAACTGATATTATTAATTAGCGGAGCACTTGTTTTAGTTTGTCCTTAACTGCATTGTTAAAAAATAATAGTCCATCTGAAACACCTTCCTGGTGAGATGTATAAATAAGATTCAGATCTCATTCCTCAGTGACCTTTGTTGCTAAAGTAGCTGCATAAGAGTGTATTAACTCTTCCAGTCCCCGGTGGTTTAGCGCTAAAGATCCAAGACATAATAAAAACAAATGTAAAATCGGTGCATCTTGCGTTCATTAGGCTTTTAGGTAGGAACCTATGAAAGTATGATACATTCATTGGGACTGAAAGAGTTAATGATAGGTTCCAGCTCAAAGTATTGGTCTGTATTGTGCACTTGTTGTGCTACTAATCTGTGAGGCCACTTATTAATTTTCTGGTGGTTCTGTTATCATCACAATGGATAGCTAGAAATAAAAGGGATTTTTAAAATTTATAACCAAGATCAAATGAAACAAAAAATGGAATTTTTATTATACTTATATACCTTTTGTTCTGATTTGCCCTTAAGTGGGTAGCTGGTATGTTACATTATGGTTTACAGCTAGGCTGTGATATCAGCATTTTTTTTAAACCCAACATATTCACTTTTAACAAACAGTTAGTCACCTTCTACAACCTACTGGTTATGGAACATTAGGTGTGTTTTCCCCTTACCCAAGAAAGGAGCACTAGTAATCCCCATGAGCTTTGTAAACCAATAGAAATATCAGATCCAAATACAGGTATCCTGGCTTTTAAGAATTAATTTTAAAATACCTGTATATACAGAGGATGATGATAGCCAGAAGAATCAGTGTAGCAATTACTGTCACAGTTATACTGATAATGACCAATGATTTGTAGGTGGTGCCTCTTGAACCTGAAAAAGCAGAGATACTATTTGGTAATGCTTTAATTATTTTTGGAAGCAAATCAACTCTTAGTACCGGTCAACTGGCTATTCTTATAATAATTATTCTATTCATGGTATTCATTTCAAACTTCATCTGTCCCATTCTCCTGATATCTTAAACCCTTTTATTCCGTTTATTATGTTAATTCATTATAGGTCATAATTGTATTATTTTAGCGCAATAACTCCACCTAGATGTCACCTTGAAGTACATATACTTTATGACAGGAGACATTAAAGAAACAACAGTACAGGGCTAACAGATTTGAACCCTTTAGCCCAGTACTATTCTTAGAAAATAATGACTATTTTCAAACTTCATTAAAATGAAATACACTGTCATAACTCTCTGAAACTCTACTACAAGAAACTAGAGGAGGAGAAGAAGCAGAAGAAATTTGGTGTCTTGGTAAGTTTTTAAAATAAAAATCCTGGGGTTTAAACCTATAACCACCGAGCAGTAAACCATACTAGATACTGTGATAATGTGGCTTCCAAGTTTCTAACTATATGGATTTTTCCTATTTAAAGACATTATTTTAAACAAAGATGTTTTTTTTTTCAATGAAGGGAAGTGTCACTAAATACAGCAACCCCCCCCCCCTCTCCTAAAATAAGTTCATTTGTTCCCTATGACAAGAAAACAGGAGTATTGTTGGCAAAGCCACAGAAAGTAAATTATTAACACTATAGTTTATTATGACGTCACAATGACCAAATAATTGACACCCCAAAAAGATCATGTCATCAAAAACATGTAAAAGTCAGAAAACCCGCTTTCTTGGGGCAAGAAGGTGAATGTATTAGTAGCTAATCAGAAAAAAAAAAAAACAAGACAAAGAAAATATAATAACAACCAAATGGTTCGACCACTTGGCATAAACTGGACAAAAAACACAAACTTTCTCAGAACTAGTGGTCACATGAGATAAGGAAGCATGATTGTATATGCTTATTGTTATGGAACAATATGATGATGATGATGATGATGGTAAATTTGGCAATGTATGTCAAAGAACAATAAGCTCAACCCTTTTGGTTGTTATGTTAATTCTTTCTATTTAAAGCAGTTGTTATTTTAGGCTAATGAAAACTGAGCCTAAATGAGTTCAAATAATCACTTTTTTGAACAGAAAGAGTTAATATAACAGTCAGTATACAGTCAGGTAATGTAATAAAATGAGATGAGTTCAGGGGTGGGGGTAGGGAAGTGTGTGCTAAAGTAAGAGAAATGTCTGGGCAACCACCAGTAACAACAGTTATAAGATTTAAAAAATACAGCACTATATTGGAAGCATCCTAAGCAGAAAAAAAGCAGAGAATCATCAGACAGGCACTAAATAAAGGGACTGAGAAAGCAAGGATGCCCAAACATTGACGAGAGAGGGTAAAGGTGCTGGTTTGGATTTGATGCAAGATATTGAATTGATTGTGCATAATAGAACAGACTGGAAGTATAGACTGCAAGCCTCATGTGACACATAATGGCACAACAGAACAATGATAAATTTAACAAATTGTGGTGCAAAAGAATTTAAGAAATGCTGATCCTGTAAGGAATTAATAATAAATGCATGCTGAGCTGGTTTTGAAGGAGTTAAATGATACAGGTATTTACAGCTCCACTGTAAGTCAAACTTAAAATGAGAGTACAGAGGATATCAAGGGAAAATGAGGTGAAGCAACACATACAAATTATGCTTTGAATTTGTTTCTAGGGATCTAAGCATGCCTCTTGCTATAACATGTTGTATGCAAGTCTCCAAAACCAAGCGGTTAAACCGTTTGCTTTGTGTACTGGAGGTTTTAGATTTAATTTTGGATAATGTGTTTCAGTTCTCAAATGCAGGTGTTCTGGAATTGGTTGCTGGAATTACAGAGTCTGTGCTTTGTGATGCTCTCATGAGCAACCAGCCACTGCTGAGGGTGAGATCAAGTCCTAGGGAACAAAACCTGGCACAATTAAGCTGAACCTCTCAACTTTTAAAGATAATGTCATCATCATCAACTAGCAGGTCCTTTGCAGAATGTCGCTCTCATCACGTCTGCCTGAAAGAAACTTAGTCTCTCGCCAGCTCTCCAGCCTCATGTACTTTCCTATTCAATGAGTAACTTACATCCTGTACCATTTTAGTGTTGGTCGGCCCCTGTCCCTCCTTCCTGGTACCATACCTTCTGCTATTATTTTTTTCCAATCCATCATGGCATCAAATATTTCTAGCTCCAAGACAAGATGCTGTTTATTACCCAATCTTCCTTCATGTTCAGATCTTTTCTTCTTCTTCTTCGTTCAATGGTTGTGAATTCCGGCGGAAGGTCCCAGTAGTTCATCCCCTAGGACTTTTGGCTTTTACCTGGACCTAAGTTTTGCGTGTACATCCTTTTTACTGGCTTATTTGTTTGCCGTTCCCTGCCTCACCAGTAGATGTACTCCATTTTGAGACATAACCCGTGGCGCACAATGAGGACGTGTAGCAGGAGTCTTGCATGAGGTTCCAAAAAACCAGTACATTGAAAGGCTGGCACCCGAGTGAGGTACGAAATATCTCCTTACACACATCACATCAAACTTAACTTTCCCTCATGCCTGTGACAGATATAAACGTGCCACGTTCAGATCTGATAAAATGTCAGTATTTCTTCTCTTCTTTCACCATAGCATTCTGAGAATCTTTCTATAGCATCTCCACTCAAAAGCCCCTATTTTCTTTCTTAACTCTTTTGAGGATGACATTTTTTTCTGGGGTTTGGACAGCATCAAACTTTGTGCAGAATTTTTTTACTGCAATATGACAAAACTAAAACCGTCGTGAAGAAAACATATTGGCTGTATAGGGATATATAATATATCAAATTAAAGAGAAATGAGTTAAAAATAAATATAAACTATTTAAGTGTCAGTATTCCAACAAAATATTATTAAAATCACACAACATTCAAGGATGTTAGACACATTTGAAGATTATTGACACATACAATGTTGTGCTTACCTTACTTTTTACTTCTTCAACAACACTGCTATTCATTTATAAGAATTCATGTACCTTATGTGTTCAATTATATATAAGCTAGTCTTTATTTTCAACAATTAATTTAATTACTTTGGATGTTATGACCATTTTAATTTTAGTTTGAAATGTCAGATTTCCCAACAACTGAAATTGGGAAAACAGTTGATCGAAACAGAGATGACTCGATTGAAAAATTTTGTTAAATCTTCATCCTAACCTAAATTATCCGCAATAGGTTTGGCACATGCATTATTAATTATAATATCAAAACTATCTGGCTGAGATTCATCGACAAAGTAGTATGAACAGTTCTAGACATTTTCCCTTATCATTTGGTCTAGAAAAATCACATAAAAAACATCTAATTAATTTAAAACAAATCAGAAAGTGACACAAACACCA